AGCAGACTTCTCAAAGTACCGGTACAATAATGACAACTGATACGGAATGGAGAAAATGATACAATATGAAAAAAAGGAAAACAAAATCCGAAAATCCCATTATTACGGGAAGAATACCATTTTTCCCCGGCCAACTTTCTCTTTACACAAAGTCATGTACGTGTACAGTTGGGTATATACACCATTACCAGCATGATATAGGGTACCAGTATTTACATACATACATGTACAGTATTACCGAGTACTTCACTTGCTCTTTCCAGAGCTGCATGAATCATCAGGTGAATTTCTTTTTTCCGCTGGAATGCAGGGCAAGCTATTCAGAGCTTTAGGAGCAAACAAAGCACGCACAAATACTTCACGACGACCTCTTGCTCCCTCAACAGGTAATGCAGAATGTACTGTACACGTACTACCAGGAAATGTGCACTGAACATGTACATATGAAAACATGTACATGTATCTGGACAACGTACATGTGGGCTCACTTTGAACTATGTACAGTGAACAGGTGTTTGGGGTAACGGGTTTTATTTTGCATGCTTTCAAAGACCTGCACTCATCCATATTACAGTAAATGTGCCGGATTCAATCTGACAGTTTGCTTTTCCTTGGTCTTTCTGTATTCTGGGTATTCTATCCGATGTCCCGTTCTGGTTTTTGTTTTGAAGTAGAGTCAAAATTTGGACATGCACATGTTCAAAGTCTGTATGTGTACATGTACACACATGTACACGTACTAGAATTTGAAGAATATCAGGAGATCAAGGGCATTAATGGTCACCTCCGTACCCCAAACTATGACCAATGTCCTCTTCCACTCCTGCATTTGTGCAAAGTTGTTTATTTGAAGCTCGCAGAAGGCAGAAAATTTACAGCCCCTTAACTTGTGGTATGTTTGACATCTGTGAGCAAGTTCCCAGCTTGAGCAAACAGCAAACTCAAGACCCTGCCAAGCTATCAAGTAAATACACACAGGCAATGAAACATGAAAGTGATTTCAGCAGGGTAAGAAGGGTGCTTATCCTGCCTAACTTCCCCAGGGAGTTTCATACTAGTAAACACATTCCACCTTGCAGAGTTATAAGCAAGGTGATTGAATCTGCAACTTGTTTCCTTTTCCTTGGCAAGCCAGAGGCTATTCTATGGTCTCTTTTTTGTCAGCGAGGTCCAAGTTGGAAGGGGAAAAAAGGGTGCTCCCATAACGTGCCTCCTTTCATGTCTCGGGTTTGAGCCCCATACACTGTACAGTATATGTACATGTATTGTATGTACATATACATGTTTGTATAAAATGCTCGGGGCTCTCCTCTGAAATCTAACACAATGGTCCCCCCAAATATTTTTTTCTCTACGCTTACCTGATCTCTGTTCACAGTACAATAAATTTTCTGGTCAATAAAATAGTACAGTATTAGGGATTACTTGCTGCATGTGCACCATTACCTGCTCTGAAAGATGTCGAACTGTTCCCAGTAAATTGCTTTTTTTCAATTGTTTTATTCATATTTTGAATATAAATCTATGAAGTAGCAGCCTTGAATAGGGTCTGCTCTGGTAACACCACAATCGTGTTTCTCCTAAGAGCGGCTGCTAGAACTACGGCGGCGCTCTGTACAAAAGTGAAAGAACAGTTCACAAAATGCAGCTACATGTAGGAGGTAAAATCAAAAACCAACCAAAAGGTGATATTTCTGCAAACTTTGCCCACCCGGACAAGTTGTAGGTAAAGTGAGAGTGGTCTTTACAAGGAAGTTGTGCTGTTGTTTCGATTCAGTGGCCAAAACGAACAAAGGCCTGCTCCGAAATCTACATGCACGACCCATTAAAACTATTCTTTAATTGGGCTTTCCTGCAACGTGAAACACAGTACATGCGTGTACTGTACCCGATATGTTATTTCCTCCAGCTCAACCCTATCTAACAGTTCCACTTTCCAATGAAGTAAAGAAAAAAACACACACGCGTACACGCACACAGCCGTGCACTCTCCGCGCTGCACTATTTGGCTTAGGGTTCTCCGGCAACCTGGCGGGCAGCCGTTGCCGTTTAGATTTCCCAAAGGAAATGCCAAGCTGGGCAGACGTTTGCGACACTGCCTGCAGAGCAGGACTGCAAAATGATGCCTGCCGACCGGCTAAAATGATACCAGAGCAGCCCTCAATCATGTCACACACGTCGCTGCCAAACCACACCGGTACATTTACATGTCATGCATCATGTAGCAGGTGCCCTGATGCAGAATCAGGCACAGATCCAGAGGAGGGTAGGGGGGTAAAATTTAATAATTACCACAGGTACATGAATGTGTATAAAGGTCCGTAAGTACATGTACATTGGTAGCAATCTAAGGCATCAGATATCATGCATCCACCTGTCCAAAACAATCGAACCCCCGCCCCCCCAAAAAAAACTGACAGGGCTGTCCCCCCAAAAAAAAGAATTCCTGGCTCCCCCTCTCCCAAACGCCCCCCCTCCCAGCACAAGAGCCTGTCTACAATGACAACCAAAGACAACTGCTTTTTTTCCCAACCTTTACTGTCTGACAGGCCATACAGACCAGCACATACAGTAAACGTTGAAATGCTTTTAAAATACTGAAAGGTACAGGTGGATTTGGACAAGCATCACCAGTACACATGTCTATCTCTATGGAAACCAAAGCCTCAGTCTTACAATGCCTCGATTGAGTTAATTGTTTTCCCTTATTTTCATGAACGTTTCAAGTTCGGCTAACCTCCATTTTACTATTAACCCTTAAACCCTCGTCAAAGCCTTTTTAACACATTTAGAAACCTTACTAAAAATCTTGGTAGGGCCTACATCTTTCCACACACTTTCAAGAGGCAGCAAGCCTTAAATGCCAAAATAACAGCAGCGGGGCCCTTCCTTCCTAAATCCTGCAAAGTCCTCTAAAAACCTTGTGGTGAATTCTGAAGGACTACTTAAAAACTTTCTCATTACACAACCATCAGTGTCCTATGGCAAGTGCTGAAAATGCTATAAAATTAACCCTAACCCTCCTCAATCCTTCAAATTCCTCCAGGTGGTTTTCAGAAGATTTTGGAGGATTCAGGCTGCATGGCAAAACGGCATTGCTGATTGCAAAGGACGCATTGCCTCAAGGTTGAGGGTTAGACCTTATGTTATGCTCGGCCATGCATAAATTCATGCCCACATTAAGTGAAATCCTCCACACTGCTCCAGGATGCCATTCGCACTGCCTCAACATGAGAGGAATTGCTGAAGAGTTTTGGAGGACCGAGGCAGTATCCACTTTTTTCATGGTGGCTGTTGGACGATTAGGAGGGATTGAGGGTGTGTCCTAGCCAAAAAGGCTTAGGTTGTTAGGGTTAAGGTTTAATTTTTTGTTTCATTTTTAGGCCATGATGACATTGTCATAATACTTTACTTTAACCATGGAAAAAACAAATATCTTAGCAGAAATATCTTGGCTGAGTGTTGCTTCAATAGGAGCTGATCAGCGACTATTTATCAAGATCAACAGCAGACCCACACCCTATCACAGACTCGTGGACTTGAGTTTTGACTTTGAGACCTGTAAGTTATGTGGTCCAACGAATTTACCACAATCAATGGAAAAAAGAATGTTGCATCCTGCCTCCACTTTTTTCATCACATTGGCCTACTACACCGACACAGGCCAATGTATCTCAAAGTTTCTTCCTCCATGGCTCAACAAAGGTCAATCGTCCCAGAAATGCTGAAGAGTCGTGAGTCTGGGACTGAGAAAAGATTAATTCCAATTTTATTGTGAAGTTTTCTTAACTTGAAGTCATGGAAGTAGGCCATCTGGTCTCCCTATATATGCTGAACTTTGTACTTCTTTTGTACACAGACGCTGAAGTGGAATCAAGATGCAACATTCCTTCCTATGCTATATAATCTTATTTCATGTATGCAACACAGAAACCTGACCCTGAGGCAATTCTCCAATTCTCGATGTTGATTTCGCGTCATGCATCTGATTTTGATCATGGCAAACTTAACATATTAATGACAAGCGCTTATTTTGAGGAAGGAAATCTGTTGCGACGTGTTGCTCGTCTCTCTAGTCACACAATTTCGCAATGTAACGGCAGGGGTCAAATGGAAGTTCATTTACGTAGGCGTACCGTAGGCTCTGCTTCGAGAACTTGTCAAAATCAGAGAGCGACGCCGAATATTCCCATCAATTAGACCCTCTCCGGCTTGAACTAAATTCCCACACAACAATACAGTCATGGCAGTGGCAGATTTGAACAATCACTTGATCGAGCCGACCACAAAAATCCCGTGAAAATCCATCAACTTACCTGCCAAAACTCAGGTGAATTTAATCGGAACACCGACCTCGCAAGTCACCGACAAGTGGAACTGTGAAATTCAAAATTCCTGCGATTAGGTCCCTTGTATTTTAACTGGCACAAGAACGACGAATATTCGCGGGCCGGGCGTGGCAAATTCTCTCGGAGCTCGTTGCGTTAGCTAGCTGCTGACGAAATTGAGGGAAAAAAACGAGTCATCGATCGACGCGAGGCACGACAACGAATTCACTGACGAAGGAAATTCCGCGCGAATGGCTTCCTACAAGGGCGCCACAGCCGTCAAATAATCGATAATTTATTATCGACAATGGATCTTTTATTCGATAGTGATGAATATTCATACTTTCACTTCCCCAAACTGGCACATTTCATTTTAACAGAAAGGGGGTCGCATTTTGTGTTATTCGCTCGTCCGGTTTATATTACAAAAAGCGAACTATGTGTCATATCAAGAATTTTTCACGCAACAAATTCACTCAGATTACAGAAGAATCGTTGGAAGTATTTTTGATATGGTTATTGAGGCTTGATGATTGCATATGAATTTTATGAGGTTTTATTTCCCAAACTCGACTATTTGTAAAAAAGGAAATCCCAATCAACCGGCCCCGCATCACGCGTACCATATATCATACCATGTACCACCGGACCGTACCGCGCGGCCGGCGACTCACGATTACCCCCTCAAGCGGCAGATATATTACAGTTAAAATGGCAGCACTCACTTTGAGAGATGTGCTGTCATTTTCCTGTGCCTTTTTTGCGTGTTTTCATGTGATTAGCGGATCTAGGAAGGTATTGTGGTATTCTGGTTGAAACATCTGTTGTTAGTGGTTTGGTTGGTTGCTTAGAACAAGTGAACAGAATAGCTTTTTACTTTTTCTCTCAAAAGTTTTCTCGGGGCCGGCATGGACGGGGCCGGGGGTTCACAATCACATCTGAATCTACATGTATTTAGGCCTACATCATGTAGCCCAGGTTATACGCTGTCCTCATTTACACTATGACTGACGTCCAGGGTATGAATTCCTCCTGCCACAGCGAAAGTTATTTTACGCCAGCCGTAGGCACATTTTAGTGATTTCAACAGAATAGAGACGGATATTTCAAAAGAGCCACCACAGCCATGACAGCCCTACTTAGTACTTGTGGGGCTAGGGCCCAGAGAGAGGACTTTATACCCTGGACTTTAGTTGCAATGCAATGTAGACGACGTGTAGTGGGCTAACGTCAGGCCTAACATTGAACATGTCTGTATATGGTCTATGTCTGATGTCAAATGTGCATGTACTTGAATAGATGAACTTGAAGTTCATGTTTTATACTAGTTTTATTTCTTTAGCCCTGTATTTTAATTGGTCGGAAGTTCTTCAAATTAATGTTTTTGCAGTCGACCTCATGTGATAACTGTATATGCCTAAGTACTTTCGGGGGAATTCTTAATCCTTCAACCATGTCAACTTGCACTCATGTTTCAGGGAGACCAGAGACATGAGAGACCAGCAGATGATGAATTCTCGGGTTCAGCGTACTCCACTGACAACACCTTGCTTATTGAGCACTCATTTGAACCAGGTGAGAAAAAATGAAACAAAAATTTCAAACAGAGCATGAAAATTGAAATTCTCACATCCATGTAGAATAATAGGGCTGTGCCGAATATCCGAATGGAAATTTCATGAAAAAGAAGGCCGAAGTTTATTTTGTTTTAAATGAGGAAAATTGCTCTACGGAGGCTTGTTTCAAGCAGATTCAAATGAAAAGTGACAGAAATCTTACAATGTCTCAAAAAGTAAAAAATCTAAAAGGGATAAATATTTTCAAGTGGGCTTTTTTTATTCGTCTCTTAAATCTTGCTAAATCGCTGGAGATACTCCTAGACATGAGAAGCTATAGGCCGAATTTACAATTGTGTACGTTTGCATCAGATTTTGTATGTACAATCATCACTGATCTGCCAAATGCTCATATATATGATCGAATTGAAGGTCGAATATTCGAACGGTGAATTATTTGAATAGACTCGGCCCTAATAGAAGTTATGAATAGCTGATGCCTTGGAGGCTGTTCTTTGTTACTGTAATTTAGTTACAGCGAATACACAAAGGCTTTAGTGATACAAAGCCCTACCCTCCAACTTCACCTTAAAGCAGCCACTTAAATGTATAGTCCAGATTTTAAGTTTAGAAAAATATTCAGTTTTCAGTGACTTCTTCAATTTCTCTTTGCAGTGTACTGAAATGTTCAGGAATTTTATTTGATGTACATGTATGTATTGTGTACTTTTCCTCAGTGTGTGGCTAATTTCCTTAACTTTCCAGGGTTGAACACCAAGTTCACCAACAGGGGTACACTCAATTTCCGATCTTTGAAGGCAGGCTCAGGAAGCTTCAATCAAGCCACTGCACTGACGGCAGGGGAGAAACGGAAACTCAGGGTACTGATCATCTGAAGACTTGATGTCAACCCCCAACCACCCCACCCCCCCTCAAAAAAAAGAGGACAAAAAATCTGGAACTTTGAAAGTTTGTACAGGGCGGGCTGTACGACAGTGTTGTAAACCAAGGCATTTTTTTAAATGACGGGTTTTGCCCTTCCTCCGACGTATATGTATGACACTGAGTACACTCAGTGTTTGTCCGAGAGCGTGCAAGAAAATTCACGAGCTATACTCAGATGGTACTCAAACCAACGACCTCCTGCTTCTTGGTACAAGACGTCTTAACCACTTGACCACTGAGCTTGCCAGGGTCAGCTGGCCGGTCCAAGTCGGATGTTGCAGCAGGTTCCACACTCTGCAACGAGATGGACTTTATGTGGAGGAGATGTTAATTTTTTCATATTTCTACAAGTCAAATCGCATTTCCTTTTTTTTTTATCCAAGTCAAGTTTCCACCAAAATACCACACAACCAGCCTCTGGATGTTGGCTGTTTGGTTCTGTCTTATAAGCAACCCAAGCTCCACCAGATTCATTTGTCATTTTATGCCATGATCGTACACAGGAGGTCGCCAAGACTGACGGACTCTACAGAATACGCGTGGCCACCAAGATGGGCAGCCCGTCCGACAGCGAAGAGGTCCATTATGTGTCGTCATTTACAAAAGCGGTGAGAAGCTCTAATCAAATCTTTGCTCTGGATGCTCACAGAAACTTATTTTGGGTCGATAGTGAGGGTTCAGGGAATCCTGACCTTTCATCACTGGAAAATTCTACCCACAAAATGGATTATAGAGTTTCGTTTTTCCTGTTGGTTTTACACTGTTTGTAGTGCGCACTCGTGGAGTCGCGCCTTTCGGATCACATCACCATTCACGCCGACCAATCAGGGAACGTCATGGGCGTCCACGTCCTCCCTCTACGGGGGTCATGTGACCAGATAGAGGTCGAGTCATCAGCACTGAATTACTTCAACACGACAGTGTCGCTCGAAGTCACAGTCCCAGCACCGATGTATGTACGCATTTACTCAACGCCCCGACGTCCAACACTCTTTCGTCCAACACCCTTACGTCCAACACCCCGACGTCCAACACCCCGACATCCAACACCCCGACGTCCAACACCCCGACGTCCAACACCCCGACGTCCAACACCCCGACGTCCAACACCCCGACGTCCAACACCCCGACGTCCAACACCCTCTCTCCATTCTCCCCAAAATACCGGTCTTTTTTACTCTAACCTTCAAGTGCAGTTCTGTTAACATTCCAAGTCGAATCAACAAGTAGAAAATGCATAAAAGGGTCATTTAGCAGTTACCTTGAAAGTTTGAGCTCATGTGGAGAAAATCCCGTGTTTGCATTCTACTTGTAAAGCAGGATAATATAAGCAAGACAGTGTGAACAGTCCAACACTGTACAGTCGGTTCAGTGTGAGGTCGTCAGAGCTTGAACAAACCATAGCAGTGATCTCAAAGACATAATCTTTTTTTTTTGTTTGACTCTACAGGCCAGAGACCCAAGCTTACATTCAGAAGCTGGAAGAAGAGAAAGCACAGAAAGCCAAGGGCAACTCTGGCGACAATCGCTCCTTCCTGGCCAAATATGTAAGTCACGGGGCCCGATCCTCTCCGTAGCAAGTCCATTGCCCGGGTTCCACAAGCCAACCAAAGCTCAAAATGGCCGCCCACCGGAGAGGCTGTGTCTCCACTGACTACGGCTTGGGCTGTTTGCCACTGATGATCTGCTGTGACAAGCCACAGCTGTAGACAAATTAATCTGTCTGTCCAGCCACATGGAATTCTCAGTGATTGGTACCTTGTTCATCCTCCTTAGTTCGCCAAAGCAGAAAATCAGTGGTAGATTCTTTGCGCTGTACTTTTCAAGGGGTTTGTTCCTCAGTCCTGCCGAATTCTCCAAAACCCCCAACCCAATCGATGGAATTTGAACGATTGGGGAGGCTCATGATTACATCACTAATGCAATGAAATTGATGAATTTCCTCTCCGTTTCATTTCAGTGGATGTACATAGCAGTGGCAGTGGTGATTGTCATGGTGACCAGCGGCCAACAGGATGCAGGGGGGCGGGGCGGTGGGGGAGGGAGTTAATAACAGACTCCTTGCCAGCCCTGTGCTGCGGCCATCTTGGTCTGGTACCCTAAAAGTCCCAGTGGCAGTCTTTCTGTATGGCCTAATATCCGGGCACCAGCTTGCTGGGCTTGTCCATGAAACCTCTGTATGTTTGATCAGTACGCTTCCCGTGTTTGCAGGAATTGAAGCCAACATTAGCAAAAGGGTCAAGGCTGATATTTGAACGTCAATTTTTTAAAGTGATTATTTAAGCCTGTTTAAGATTAAGTTTTGAATAAACATGGAGTGATTACATTTTTACTATTATTGAAAGATTTGACAAGAGCCAACACAACTCCCCTTGTTGATTACACGTGGATGTTACAAACCAAAAATATACATATTAAAGAGAAATGGAACAAATTTCTGGTAGATAAACAAATAAGCATGATCAAGTTCAGTGGATGTTATCAAAGCACTCAGAATTATTAAAAAATTATTAAAATACCACGTGAAATAGATGTCAAGTACTTCTGAATAAAACACTCCTAGTATAAAGTGAATTGAGACTAGTGATAGTTTGGGGGTTTTTGTGTTGAGTTGGAGTTGGGGTCGGGCTGGAAATGGGCAGGTTTGTTTTTTGGGGGCCAGAAAGCACTGTGACGGACAAGCATCCCAACTGCTAGTTTTCTCTATAAACCTTTGGTTTACTTTATTATCAGATAATCACACCAGGCTGTATTTGCACCTGTATTTATATATAATTATAGAGAAAAACTAGTCATACATGTATGTAGCAATTTATATACATTATTAATCTCAAATTGTCTCCACAGCCAAAAGGAACAAGGAAGGGAATGCATAGCCTACAGGATTGGGCAATTAAGCGTGGTATTGGCGAACTGGCAGGCAGAGGAAGGGCAAATGTCGGATCGATTGGAAATAAGGACAAATCCCGCACAGTTCCACAAAAAATGACGAGATTAACCCTTAAAGTTTCACAATCATTTGAAAGGCTGCAAATCAGATGAGATTGAGGTGGGATGTACCATATAACTCTTCCACAGCCCCCCCCCCCCGAAATTCTGCTCTTCATATCCGACCAACATTGCCTCCGTTAAATGCATTTGTAACAAAACTAACCGTACATTAAAGAGCACCTCTAAGGGAAACACGTTTTCTCTGCTTTTGTCTGTTCAAATCAATATGGAAGCATCCAAATCGAACGCAGTGTCATTTGTCTTCGGAGCTCAACTATAACAAGCTAAAAAGGGCTTTTTTCTGTTCATGCCAAGATGCAAATTCTGAATGTAGATTGCGTCGTTTGGAGAAAACAAGGAGAACTCTCGCACTGTGTTCACAGTGGATAAACCCTTGTGCATGTCAGACAATGGCTTCGTGCTTATTTACATAGAAGTGCTCTTCAAAATTGGTACTTTTTTACTTCAACCATGCTGCCCCTCAGATGTTTGGGACCTCTTTCATTATTTAAATATCACCCAGCAAAATTAATTTGGGATGTAACGAACACAAGACTTAAAACCCGATGTTGACCCAACATACGTAGAAGTAAAACTTGTAAACACAAACAACCAGGAACATGAAATTTAACATCCCGTTTCATGACTTTTCTAATGGAAAAGCAACTGCCAATTGACTATTATGATTTTACATCAATGCATTAAAATAATCACCCAAATAAATATTCATCAAGCAGTGATACAGTGAACATTTTAACCTGTTAAATTCTGGTTATAATTCTCTTGGTGTGAAACGACATGAATAATAATATGCATAATACGAATAATTTGAATAATTTAAATAATTAACAGGTGTAGTATATGATAGAATTGCAAGGATCAACCTTGGTATCTCAGCGATAATACTTTGGAAAAGAAAACAAAAGCTTCAACGAGGGGAAATCTTAATGTTGCCGAAAGTTTCTAATGTGTGATGATGTAGCTCTCGAGTGTGAAATTGTCAGCTGGGTGATAGAACATAACCGCTTTTTTAAAACAGTACCAGATCTCTGTTTTGTCGGACGGAGAGGAACATCTCCCTGAATATGCTGCAGTCTGGTACCTGTGTCTGGCACCTGTGTATGGCACCTGTGTATGGTACCTGTGTATGGTACCTGTGTATGGCACCAGTGTATGGCACCTGTGTATGGCACCTGTGTATGGTACCTGTGTATGGTACCTGTGTATGGTACCTGTGTATGGTACCTGTGTATGGCACCTGTGTATGGCACCTGTGTATGGCACCTGTGTATGGCACCTGTGTATGGTACCTGTGTATGGCACCAGTGTATGGTACCTGTGTATGGCACCTGTGTATGGCACCAGTGTATGGTACCTGTGTATGGCACCTGTGTATGGCACCTGTGTATGGTACCTGTGTATGGTACCTGTGTATGGTACCTGTGTATGGCACCTGTGTATGGCACCTGTGTATGGCACTCGAGACCACGTATGCACTGTTACTCTTTCTGCCCAGCCAAAATCTCCCTATTGGATGCATCTCTATTACAAGTACATGGATGGAATTGGATCAAGTTTTGCTTGAAAGCCTTACCCTGAAAAACAAATTCCGTGCGTACTTCATCTGCTCATAAATTTTGGCAATTTACAGCACTCTTCTGCTTGCAAGATTCAAACACATGTCCGTACAAATTTGTTTGTTTTCGTCACTCCAATTTCTTAATCTGTTTCATAATATCATACCAATACCATCCAGTGATCAGATACAAAATATGTATATTATGTACATTACAAGCCCCCAGTACATCGGTAAATTTACATTGCAAATTTTGCAAACTATTAAAGTAACAAGAACCGAAACAAAAAAAGTCCTTCATAACTAGACAAATACATGTGATCTCAGTCACGACATTTATCAAATTAATCTACAAAAATAATTAGTGTGACTATCAATTTTTTGCATACTGCAGTAACAGGGATTTATATGTGCCATTATTGACAACTTGTCGGCTTCTTTGCCATTTACCATCATGTGCCGTGCATGGAATAGCATTTGTGCTGAGATCTGCCAAAAACCCTCTTACACAGTGAGCTTTGTCATTTTGGTGCATGCCAACGTCAATTGATCGGGACACTGTCCTGCTTTCAAAACTGTTTCATTTGTGATTCTGGACAACCTAGATTGCTGTTGTAGACAACCGAAAATCGTCAACGTAATACATCTAAAAACAAAGAGTGTGTCATATTTAAATTTTTCTCAGATCACATCACACGTAACAAAGTGATAACAATTCTAGCACAGATTCAGCTCTTTACCATGCCAATACAGAGCTTTATAAGCGGCCAAGAGAGGACTGATGCAAGTTTAGGGCCTCCTTATTTGATCGCCACGTGATTTAACTACAGCAAAACAGCCAACGCTTGGAGTTTGTTTTACATTGACCCAGAGCTCCCCAAATCCCTCCGAGTCCCACAAGTTCTGAAGGATCTCGCAGGGCTGAGGAGGGAAGAGCCGCAACGTATCCACTCAGCACTTGAACAAGAAATGGCACATTTTTACACTGCATTGATATCCTTTTGGCAGGGTCACGTACGTAAGCAGAATCACGCACTTGACGCGGGCCACACTGAGCACGTGCAACCAACTTTGATTGAAATGTGCAGTGTCAGTATGTGCCAGGCATTCAGTTGATTGAGATGGTCCCAACCAACAAGTCTCCTCACTTCTGCTGAGGGGTACACAGTGGCATTCCCCCACCCCCCCCCCCAAAAAGGAATGATTCTATAAAAGGGGAAGAACCCAGGGATTTTGTTTCTGCAACATCCGCATATCTCTAACATGTCTAACAGAACTGCCTTGTCGGCCAGAGATCAAAGATTTGACTTATGCAAGAACTGTCATCATCAGAAGTCCGACTACAGCTAAGCCACAGAGAATTCTCACTATCTGCCTGCATTGGCTTGTTCCACAAAAAAATTAACAAAACAATGGAATACAAAAAGGCTGGAATAACCCGATTGATATCATGCTCCGTTCTAGGGCCAGCTTCCAAACTGCACTGTGCAGAGAGAGTTATTTCTCCAGGAAGAAAAGAGAATTACTGGCCAGAGAAGTGACGTGAAACAGTTGGTTATAGGCTGTTGGCCGTTTGTTGTTTTTGCCTCTGAGCTCTCTTTATTCAGATTAGTAATTTTCACCCAATTAATTTCTCAACCCAATGCAATATTTTGATCTCAGTGATTATTATTTGTTAGGTGCCCTTTCTTGCCTTACTTTTCGATTGATTTTTGGAGACATACGCCTTTCGGCGACAGTTTGTTTTTACACTTTTATGTTCTCCTGGGCGGCCCGCTGAGTCTTGTGTTTGTCATGTTGTATGTGGAATTGCCCAAATAAATAATATTATTAGTACAGCTGAAGCAACTGCAACCAAAAAAGGTCTCCAACTAGGCCTGGTTTTGCTGAACTGCTCAGCCACCAACTGTTTCTGTTTTTTTTTTTTAAATCAGTGAGTAGAAAAACATCAGCGGAAAACAATTCAAAAGCAATACACTGTGTCTCCAAACTTTTCTTGATGAAAATCTGTTTAGCATAGCCATGTTGCACATTCCACAGCTCACTCAAACTGGCCCCAAACCCTCACAACCATTTTTTTTTCACCCACAATTCCTTCTTTGGACGCGGATATCTTGCCCCTCTTCAACTTTCAAAAAACCACTCCTTTAACGTGTTTTGCCTACTTACAAAAATATCTCATCTGCCAAAAACGTCACAAACGGAAAATATGCAGTTCTATCCATTCAACAAATTTACAAAAAATATCTTACATTGACGGTAAGCTGGCAATGAGGAAAGATGTATATTTTCACAAAGTGATAGGAATGGTCCAGCTTCTTTCTAAAAGTGCATTACCTAATTCTTTTTTAATTAAAGCTCTTATCGCAACCACGAACGAGGATTAATGACAAAAAAGAAAATAGGAACAAAACTAAAATGGTTAATTGAAATGACAGAGCAAAAATCAACTAAGAAATCCCAGCTGATACCTACCTTATTGCTTGACATCTGTAATACAGCTGATCAGCAGAAAGCAATGAGTGGATCAGCTAGAAAATGCTGGTGGATCCACCATTTGTTGATTTCTTTCAGTCCTGCTTAACTGATAGCTATACCATTAGGACTGCTTGACACATCTGATACAACCGATCAGCTACATCAGAAGATAGCAAGTGGATCAGCTACAAAATGCTGGTGGATCCACCATTTGTTGATTTCTTTCAGTCCTGCTTAACTGATAGCTATACCATGAGGACTGCTTGACACATCTGATACAACTGATCAGCTACATCTGAAGACAGCAAGTGGATCAGCTACAAAACTGCAGTGTGCTCGTGGATCCACAAAATGCCGAATTTACTCTCTTAACTCACTGACAGGAAAGATATTGCTAAAAAAAACTTGATGTGACCTGACAAATCTAAGTCTTTAAACAAAGACCTTCATTCAGTTGTCTCTTTTTGAATGATGTGGAAATAACTTCTTTGGATCAAAAGCTTTTGAAAATTGCTGAAAGGAAAAGTGAACTCAAAGGACATGATTTTGTAAAACTCTACGATCAATTCTCAATTTTTCCACAAGGTCTCGTGGATGCACCAAACAGATGATACTGATACCCATGCTTAAAGTGGATGCCCAAACGTTCAACGAAAGAGAAGCCTAATGTCACCTTGAATATATACATGTCAGAAAAGACATCAAACCACAGTTGCCATCTTCAAACAATGAGTACGTGGCTTTGATTCTTTTCAAGTTGATCAGTGTGGAAAAAATCTCCCGCAGTAACTACAAATCAGAGGTAACGTAGCTACAGCTATTTTTTTACTGGCCTTGTGGTGAATCCACTTGTCTTTAACTGATCCACACAGTGTATCAGTTGATCCACAGGACATGAAAAACGATACATGCATCGCTGATATCTCTGAGGTTGGCAAAGAATAATATTCTCACAAGCAAACTTAGGATCCAACTAGAGCTGGAGACTAACTCTGGACTTGACTTGCACCCAACTAGTGAGGAATTGGTGGACTATCTCATGGTGTGGATAGTCCACCAATTTACACTCAACTGATAGTTTAGTTGATATACTAAAATGGATCAACAGACAGTGTGGATGTGAACCACTCACAGAGAATCTCTGGAGAAGAATCTAGTTTTCTAATTCAAATTTGCCATGTCAGTGGATCTGCATGTCACAGAAATGGAATCCACTGGAGGAAATGGAAGAGTTGTTGACAGTAATAGATTTGCTGATCAGCGAACTTAGATGACTTCCGCATAGTTGCTCGGATACAACCCCTCTCGCCCATTGAAACGCCCCCTACACCAGCCTTGCTCATCCTCATCATCCAGCTTGATTAGTATGTCACCTGGAAACACGAATACATGAATAAATTAGTATAATTACAGTAATATACTCACTATTTTGATGCGCTGCACAGTCTGGAAGTGCATGATGGTACTTCAAATCAGGTACATCTGTTTCATCTTTAGCCACTTTGCGCCGGGCCCATTTATCCATGTTGATTCTGCTGAGCCGGGTGACTTTTCTTCTTTTTTTTTTCAAAATTCTTTAAAAATTCTTAACTTCATTTTTTGGACGTTTACACCCACACGAAGGACTCTCTGGTGGCTACTCTAATCTGACAGACAACATCAATTGACACGTAAGTATTTCAGCCAGGCCTGCTGCCTTGTAAAAGGAGCCCAGGTCGTGCGGTGTTTGTAATTTTCTATTGTTCCCGAAACTGGCACAGTGCGCTGCTGATGTCTTTTCAATCGGGGCCAGATTGGCATGCAGTGGTATTGCATCACCCATCCCTGGAGTGCTGGAGCGCTTTTGTCCCCGGTGGTAATCCGCTCACACTGGATGCCACAAACAGTGGTATAATCTTTCAAAACAATGACAGATTTCCTCCGCTACTGACAACTGAAAAAATGTTGGCAATTCCCAGCAGCTCAGTCTTTTGTTCCGAGTACAGTCTTTTGTTACAAGGCCCAGCTCTTTTGTCCGATTTCGGTTGATGCATTATAACCTTTATCGGCCACTTATAGTCCAGATGTTACGTTCAGGAAAATATTCAGTTTTCAGTGACTTCTTTAATTTCTGAAGTCCAATTTCTGAATTTCTTTTGTCCCAATTCGGGCTCCCCAGCTTCGTGTATAAAGCCCATGTGCCCGAAACTGGGTACCCCAGCGGGAAGTGCTTAACCATTTTTAAAGTCTTGAATTTGCATGACGGGTGCCAGCCAAGAACTGCTGGGCTGTGATTGGTCGATACCGGCCACCTCAACTTACCCACTTCAAAAGACAGCTCGTCGTCCTCTAGACCCTCGTACTTGTACAACGCCCTCACTGGCACACCCTCTTCCTGGGATTCTTGCGACATCTGTCTGCTTGTCAGCGACAAAGGAATCAAAGATCAGTAATGAAGCAAGAGCAACCAAGCAGCGCTCGATGTTCTCGCCATTTCTACACTTTTTTGGGGCCATGAAGTAAACGTTTTCAGCGCTTGGCAAAATTTTACACAGGATTCCCGCAGAAATCAGAAAAAAAAAAAAAAAAACCTTGACTTTTCTTGGATTTTTCAGGACAAAACCAATTTTAATGACATTTAATATTTGCCAAAGAAAAGTTGTTTGGTATTATAAACTGGAAGGCTGCCACAGCCGCCACTCCAGACTGACGAGGACAGCACCAGTAAATTAATTAAATTAATCACGGTTCCGTTATCGCATCAAAGTGGCCTATCATTAAGAAAAAAAACCCTTGCATAATAATGACTTTTTTTCCCCTGGGACAGCGGCATTCAAGGACATCTTATTTTTCCCCCAATTTTCCATGACGTTTGCATGACTATCCAAGACAACTTTTTTTCTCGAAGAGGATTCTTCAAGATTTTCCCTGACCGTGGGAACCCTGCTTGCACTGCACAGCCACACAGACTACGGGCGATTCACAACAGTGCGCCTCAGAGCGTTTGCAACGTGTTGACCAGTCACAGTGCACGAAGTCTGTCGACCCTTTCCATGTACGGGTTGACACTTTTTTGATTGGCTAACGCATTGAACTCTTGGTGGCTCACTACTGTGAAATGCCCGTATTGGGCCAAGGCCTTTTTTCCTTTTAAAATCATTATTTTGCTTCACCAGCCCCACCCCAAACATAAATTGTTCAAGCCAAAACACTGCTTTGCAGACTTCCAGCACAGCACATCTACCTCAACTCAGTTCTGGAGGCAAGAAAGCGTTGCGTTTGCACAAAAACTACCTTTGCTAAAAGCAGTGAAAATTGACACAGAATGTGATGCCCTGATCAGTAAGAATCTCTCAAAGCAACCCATCCAAACCTTTCATGAAATACTGAAAGAAGAGTGCAATGAAGCTCAAGCTTTGACCCTAGCCACACCCCTCAGCCACACCCCTGGCCACACCCCCTTTGTCACACCCTCACCCCCACCCCCTTGGCCACACACATCCCTTGGCCACACCCCATAGCATTCATACTTGGGCTCCCAGATTACACCAACCTCACCAACCAATCCATCCCTCAACCTATCAGCAAACTTCAATTAATTCCTTTTTATCTGTAATTTTTCCAAAGTCACTTTTCTGCTTCTTCTTATCTATCAATTTAATTCATCTTAAGCAGTTTTTTTGGGGGGGAGGGGGGGTTGCACATTTTTTAACGGAACACTAGCCCTATCTAAGACTATCACTGAGCACGTCAACAGTGTACATGTAAATGCTCCCCCTGAAGTGCAACAGCTCTATTCTTCAATCTTCAATTGACACAAGGGAAAGACAGCATTTGGTGACCAATCCAAGCAAGGGATGGCCATACTGTACATGAACATTCATAAGGATCTCCAGTAATGTCTGGTGCCTCACGCTGACTACATGTACACGTATGTACCATCGGGAGGGCACTGCCACTACTGCGGTCCTAGAGTGCGACCCCATCCCTGCCCATGCTCGGACCGGTCCAAACGTACATGTACTACACGCTATGGAAAAATGCAAATCACTGAAAAGGTCAAGTCACAAAGGCATGCACTAAACAAAACAAACAGCGTCGACACCTGTCGTGTCAATTCTACTAAGGATCATCACAGGACAGCGATCAGCAACTGCATTAACAGAAACGTGCAGTATGCTGTGTCACTGTCATTCGTGTACCAATGTAAAACAAAAAATTATAAAACAGAAACCCACACGTAGTAACTTGTAAGTATGACTAACTACTCTACTTCTCTCCATATATACAGAACAAGTTATATACTAATTTAAAAAAAAAAGAGTCAAACTAAAATCTGCGACCATGTAACACCTTCATAATATTGGCGTAGATCATTAAAATATCAGCTACAACATACTTGGAGATGAATTTGACCTACGTGTATGGTGTTGTTGGCATGCATGAAGACCAGAGAGATTTCCATAAATCACAGTTAACAAAGCAGAGATCACAGGTAAAACACAAATCTCGCAGACAAGTTTAAGGACAGGACAGAAGGAAAGAAAAAACGTGCTTCTACCAAAAAAAATATGGAAATCCTGAAATCAAGAAACTAACTGTACATTTGAGGAACAATATTAAAATAAAATTTTCTATGATGGATCTTTTTCCTGTTGGTAAAGCAGTCCTTCAAATATCAACGTATCAATTTTCAAAAGTCTACAATGTAACTTCTAGAAGTGGTAATACATGTTGGTTACGCGCTTCTATTTGGTTCAAAGTTACTTCCATCTTTTTGACAGGGCCCTCAATGCAAGCAAAGAAAACCAGTGAGTTTATTGCTGTGCGAGGTGAGGCACTACACATGTAGTTCTGCTAGAGCATTTCTGGAGCCCATGTAAACCGCAAATTTGGGCACAAATGTGGGAGAGCCTGCACCAGTCATTGAGTACTTTATCTCTTGAGAAATTAACTGTGAACCTCAGTGACATGATGCCACCTACGGTATGCCGTCTGGTGGATGTTTCCCCCAGCTCTGGGGCCAATTTCATAGAGCTGCTCAAGCACAAAATTTGTTGAAGCACAAAAAAAACATTCATTTAAAAAAAAGGTTACCAGCTCAAAATCTAGGTGATTGCCATGCTAACCAAAAGACAGGTGAGTACCATTCCAAACCAATATAAATCACATGGACTTTGACTGGTAACCTGATTTGTCAAGCAAGGTTTTTTCATACTTAAACAAATTTTGTGCTTAAGCAGCTCCATGAAATTGGCCTCTGGCCCGCTGGGGTTGCACCACAAGAAGTTGTTTATTTGCAAACTCAAACATGCGCCTACCATCACCTGGAAGGACACATCCTCAGACATGAATCATGCGCATATCCAGAGTGCAAAGGTCACCAACTAGCCTTCTGCTCAAGCTGCTAATATTATCTCTGCTGTCGTTTGGACAAAAGAGAAGGGAGATGCATATACACACGGATCAGGGCACACACCAAAATGCTGTAAATTACCAAGCCTCTGATGGGTATCCTACATGTACAAAGTACCGCAAAGCGTCTGGAAATGAGACTAGGACGCCCCTCCCCTTCATACTCTTACATGTATGGACTGGTCAACAATGGAATATCAGGGTTACCTTGACAGTGTCTGAATTTCAAGCGAAGTAAAAAAAAAAAAATTACAGTGTGCCCCATTCAAACTACACACTCTAGAAACAAAAAATCCCATTAGCTCTGTGCATGAGCAAAGAGGGCGCTGTGCAACTATCAATGAGACACTTCACTCGTAGGCATACATGTATTTTTAAAGGTACCAGCGTGCAAGAGGCACTGGCGTCCAGTTGTACCTAATTAATCTACATTATTTCTCCTATTTAGCCACTGATCAATGACAAAGGTGCCAGAGTGCAAAGCCTACGACCTTCCCGGTGCTACGCACTACAAGAGCCTACTTAGTGACAAGAGGAAACAGTATCATTTAGTCTTGTTAGTTAACAGCCAACAGAACACCCGGTAACTGTGAGTTCCTCATCTCAACAAGCGAGTGCAATCCAGAGAATGGGTTGTTTTTTTTCTGAGAAGCAAAATTTTTGCATACTTTCACTGGATTCAGCATTTTACTAATAGACAAAGCAGAATTAAAACAAAAGATAAGTAATACGGGCGTTTCACAATAGTGCACCTCCAAAAGTTTGCAGTGCGTTGGCCAATCGCCTTGCCAGAAATCTGTCAACCCAGTGCGCGTTTGGAAAGGGTCAAGAGATTTCGCGTGTTCTGATTGGCCAACGCGCTGCAAACTCTTGGAGGCGCTCTATTGTGAATCGCCCGAATTGGCTGCTTGAAATACATGGACATGTAAACTTGCTAGGCTTGAAACACTGGCCAATCTGGAAGCCAGGTTGCTTGGTGAAAACCTGGAGCTCACAGCTAAACATCAAACCATAAAACTTCAGTCAGGGTTATTCACAACTGTGCACATGCTGTGTCCAATGTTACGACTGTGGCGAGAAACAACACGTGCGCCTACGAAAAGTCACTGGCTAGCGGCTGCTGCCACTTCCCACAGATGCGTGCTACCCAAGCCACAGCCAGATAATTTGGACACAGCTTCACCAGCTACGATAAACAAAAATTGTGGTGAACTGTGTTGTTATTGCTGTGATCTGACAACATAGCACGGTGCAGCCTTCTGCCTACTACCACTGGACCTCGAGGGACCTCAAGGTGCGACGGGGTACGCAATAAGTCAATTTACACGCTGACCAAAACTAGCAGAGAACCATTTGCAAGACATAAGCAAATGCACAAAATATCAGGTGGTGCCCTGCTTTTCCTGAGCAGACGTTTTCCCCGCTTAGCACATTTCTGGATGCAGGTCGTTGACCTCGAGTCAAAGTGTAGGTCTGCGTGGCATGGGCATTGTCTACACAGTGCGGCACAACTGAAGGAGATCGGTGTTATCAGTAAGCGGAATCAGAGAGGGCTAGGGTTAACCTGCGTGAGTACACTCCAGCTACCGGACAACCAGCCATGAGTGAGCTACACCCCACACCAGGCATGCATTACTGGCCACTTACCCGTCGTTATCATTATCATCGTACTGGGTGTACCCGGGATAGTTACTGGTGGTGGCAGCAAATGGTGGGGACAGAAGGTTGGAGAGATAAAAAGAAGAAAAACATACCCAGAGGGAGGAACCAGAAGTTAATAATGGTCAGAGAATCAGACAGTAATCCTGTGAAATAGGGTGCCTGCCCACATGGTGAGGTGACAGACTGGTGGAAAGACAAGTGGACATACTCAGAGGAGGAGACAGTGTGACATTATGTATATATATATATACAAAGACATGCACATTTCACAGATGTGGAACAAAACGTGTACCCAAGGTTGTGAAATGTACATAATGTACATGTACATGTAAAACACACATGCACATGTCTGCAGTCACAGCCATTTAACCCCTTCGCGCCGGGAAGCGGTAAGAGCCGCCCGTAAAAATTGAGATCCCTCGGCCCGCTTTTCAGCTATTATTCTCGGCCCACGCTCGAGCAAACACGGTGAAAGAAGGCAGACCCTGGCTCTTGTATATAGGGTGATCGGCCTTTGTGTGTTGCCAAGAAATATAAAGGCCGAATTTACATCATAATCACCAGCTTCACAATAGTCCCCACTTTGAAAAGAGGCAACGGGAATGTGGAAGAGTGAGTAGAGTCACATGCCACCCACTATCAGCGTTTTCACNTTGGCAGGTGGCCTTTGTGGCCGAGCGAGGCTGGAATTCTCAGAGTCGGCTTTCAGAAAAAAGTCCCAGCGTCAAGGGGTTAAACATATTTGGTCATACATAGTGTACATGTACATGTATACAGGCATTAATCTTCAAGCAGGTCTTGAATCCTCAGTTCTGATTGGTCGATCCACGACAATAGCGTGATCACGCGGTCACACAGTCGCAACCAGCGTACTGCACTGTTCTCACTGCGCATAGTGCACTTTTTTACACTTATGCAAAACAAGCAGCTGTAGAATAGACCTTTCCACTAATAAATTCATAATTATGCACGCATGCGCACAAATGCCCTTAGCGGCGAGGGCCATTGAAAATGTACAGGGGTGCGATTTGGATCATTTTCTCTCAGGTTTTCTGGCTCTGTTCAGTTTTTTCCTCAGAAAATCCCGTCAAATCGTTTTCGCTTTTAGTTTCTAATCTAAGCGGGATTTTGAGTGCTCTGTAAAAACGACTTTACAATCCTGATTCTTTTGCTGTGGGCACGAGATTAAGCGGGAAAAACAACACACTTGAGCCGGGCCGCGTGACCTCAACTGAGCCAAAGTGTCCTTCCACGATGATCATGTTTGGTATTCTTATACTGCATGGTACTACTTTGCAGGTACGGCGCATGTATAAAAACTGACAAGACTAGCACAGAAATCAGGCACAAATATCAACAGAGGGCAAAAGGGAAAATGACTCACTTGGGGCAAGCAAAACACACCTAAACAATAAAGCATCACTCGAGAGTACACGATACTGATATGCATGTCAATGCACTTTTAGGAGGCCACATTTCAAAGAAAAGCCAGAGAGGAACTGTTGCACAGCGTGGTGGGCGCCTGCCGGCCAAGACAGCGTAACAGGCACCAAGTTTGGGCTTCTTCCCACAATTCTTTGCTGCTTCATAATTTTACACAGCTCTGGGGGAAAAGCTTCTTCTCGGGCATAATCATCACGGACACAAAAGCAAAACTGCCATTTGGGGCGGAGGTTGAATATTTTCCTCCTGTAGAGGCGGACGCACCACAAATCCACTTGGAAACTATTCCAATGTGTCACTTTTTAATACACCATTCACCTGTTAAAATACACTAACCGAGTAAGACACATTAGGGGTGCACACCACTCAGTTAATGAACAAACAAGCGGATCAATATTTCCAGAAAGTTTTGTGACATGGGGAAAAGGGATGAAATACATGTAGAAATACTTGTTTGCCTGAATATTTTGGCATTTTGATAGGTCCCTTAACCAGTCTTATTTCTGGAGCTTTCGTTTACATTGTTGAAACATACCATCCAACACTTAAAACACACACACATAGACACTTCTCAGATTAGTAAAAACACACAAAACATGTATCATGTAACTGTAGACATGTGAGCTTCCAGATCGCTGTGCACCTGTTAGATATAAGTGCTTTCTAACAACAAAAGTCCTGTCAGAGACGTCCATTTGAAGTTTCAGGTATCTGTGGTACAGCACATGTAATTGCTAACAACTCTGGCATCTACCTGTACAGTTTCTACTGTTACACCCAGTACAAGAAGAAAAAAGGAAAAAGAAAAAAAATTTTCACGAAAACAAAAGCTTTTTCGGCCAGTGACCGAAACAGCTAAAGATTGCACACATAGATTCCTAACAGCAACGTTTGTTATCAAACTGTGTATCTGTGTACAAATACACCTGTGCACCTACACTGCACATCACCATGTCCTAGCTTACGACAGATTTGTTTTTTTAGAACAGGGAAAACTGCCTTCTAGGACATGCGACAAGGCGCACCAGTCACTGAGCATGCAACAAAACACCCACGACTGCCGGAGGAATTGTGTGCCAAATGTACCTGGTGAACGGCGAAGAGGGCTCGGAAACGTCGCTGTGGTGTGGCCATTTGAAGGCAGTGGAGCTCATGGATGGACTGGGGGTACTATAACTACCACTAGGGGGACGAAGGGGGGACCCATGAAGGGGTACAGAAATTGGGGGATGAAGTCACCGAGGGGAATGGAATTAGAGGTCAATATTGGGCATATTTAAGCAAGGGTCATGCGATCAGTGGCGGGGGGAAGTCGTTCAGGGTATTTGGTCAAAAAGTGAGGCATTTGTTGGAAATATGCATCGGTGTAGTTTTTCAAAATACAGGCAGGGCAAGCGTTGGTTGGAAAAGGGGCGGAGAAGGAGAAAGTGGATTTCAAAGGGGTACATGTACACAATTTAGTGTAGGGTGGGGGCGGAAACACAAAAGGCAGATAATTTGAGCAATCGGAAAAATGCACAGAGCAGGCGGAGGGCATTGGAGTCCACGGGAAAATTTGGCAAACGTTGAGAGAAGCAGAGAGAGAGAGAGAAAGAAGGAGGAGTTGGTTAACGAGGAACTTGCTGACACCTTAAATTTTCCAGGCGTCGGAACAGGGGTGAATTCAACACGGTTTGCTTGCCGGCCCTTTGCAGAGACATCAAAGAACAAATTGCAATATTGGCAAATGAGACAACAAAAGACGGAAGAGCTTGAGCAAGGTTTCAAGGACAGGCGGCACCAGAGAAGAATAGAACCAGTCAACAAAGGGATTGACTCTCAGCGCTCAGAGGAAGTTCAGAAGAGGACACTTCAAGGCAGCAAGAGGCAAAGGATAAATAAGTTTCAGGATTTCCGTCGCAACAAGGGTTACAGGTGCCTCTGCAAGTTTCAGGTTTTCAAATAACTTGGCCCAAGAAAAATGTTCACTTTCAAAATCTGTGATTACCGAGTGTATTTATGGTCTGTCTGGATGCAAGAAAAGAATATGCACGTGGATGTATTCAACAGATATTGAAATGCAGCCCGTACCTTCTACAAATGCAATGATTACGTTTCTATAAAATCTTGGCGCCAAATTGGTCAAAGATCTGGGTTTACATTGCGCTGATTTTGCAAGCAATGGGTTTAGTCATGATTTAATGAAACGAGTAGATTGCCAGGGGCACTTTGGTAGAATTTCTTGGGTAACAGTTTATTTGCAGGCCTATCACAAAACAGCCTTGTTACTCCATAAACAATTTTTATTCTTCCCATACAAAAGCAGTTGGGGACTTCACATCAAAACAAGACTGAGTCCATTTTGACGTCTTAGATTCAACTGATGGGTTTACACCATGACCTTGGAGTAACAGGGAGTAACATATATCAAAAGAAACTGGCCTAGATGACAAAACTCTATGATACAGCTCACGCTGGTCAGAGCAGTATGGATAAAATGGAGGAAGTCAAGGAAAGAAGATACATCATGCACCCGAGTATTTTTCCTTGACGGAAAGACGGGATGGTTAGAGTAAAAGAAAAACCACCTACCGCTCAGCGCTCAGCAGAGGGTCATTATATTCGGTGTTGTTGTAGTCGTTATCGATGGACCGGACTGTCTTGACTGTGATGCTGCCGTCCCCACCTCCGCTCACCGAGTTCTTCATTGTCGCCCGCTTGCTGCCGATGGCGTGGAGTTCCTCCTTGTACTCCTGCAGTGAAGGGAGGGGGTAAGTGCGACTGAAAATCAGGGGCAACTCACGAGCGAGCAAGGATTTCCTCGTGAAGAATCAAATGAAAGAATCTGAACGAACGTAGCAAATGTGTCATGAAGGGGAGGAGGGGGTGGGGAGGGGATAGGGATAGGGGAGGGAGTGG